AGCAAAACCTAATAAACTAATCAAAAGCTCCGATTACCTTCAACTCAGCAGCCTCCGAAACCTGCTGCTGCTCAACTCTTTTCTCCAATTCTTTCTGAACCAAAACATTAAAAAAAATCAAATCTTGACCTAGTAAATCTGAAATCGAAAAGGAATAAATATCCTCGATAATTAAAAAAAATTACCTGAAAAGTGTAGGGATAAAGAAAAATCACAGCAAGCACGGGCTTAGGAACCATCTCTAACATCTCATCATCCAATCCGTATACATCGTTTAACTCCACTTGGTCCTCGGGAACTCCGAGGCCCCAAATGAACTGCGATCATCAAGTCAATTCATCGAATTCGATCAGATCGAAACCCTAACCCTAGAAATTAAATTGAGATCGAGACGAGAGGGAGTACCTGATTCATGACGTCGGGGTTCGCTTCGAGAGGAATCCATCGCTTTTTGGAGGGTTCCGCCATTTGTTTGTTAATCTCGATCGGTAATTTTGGAGAATGAGGAGGGAAAGCGGCGGAGGGCTAGTATTTATAGACCAGCGACCTAACCTTGTGTGCCCGTGCGTTACATGTGCAAATGGGAATTTCCCTTTTTTTCAAATATCATGTTGGGTTTTTTCGATATTAGTTCCCCAAAACCTTTCATATTTTATTTTTAGTCCTCAAATCTTTATATTTTTACATTTGTGCCCAAAATCTTTAAGTATTTTGACATTAATCATCCAAATCCTCAAGTATTACGAAAATAGTCCCCTAAATCCTTCAAGTATTTGAATATGTCCAACTCTTTCGACCTAGTCCTAACTAAAGAGACTAATTTCAAAATATTTTTTGGAGACTAACTTCAAAATATAAAGGCATTTAATAATTACAGATTTGTGGGGTACTAATTTCAGAATATAAAAATTTAAGGCTTACTTAACATGTAACATTTGTTGAGATCATTGTTCCATCATGATGCTTCCGGGGACGAGAATGCTCAATATGAAGAAAAAAAATTCATAAAAATTTTGCTCTTTATGGTCTCGGGCGTATCAAAGTTAATTTCTATTTAATTTCAAGTATTTTTGGGGAAATAAACTTTATGATATGAACGCCAAATATGTTGGGGCGAACTTTAGGATATCGACGGCAAATAAGCTATTTATTTTAAATGGGAGGGTATATATTGGTAGAGGAAATAAGCAATTTTTTATTAATGAATCAAAAGAATAACTACAAAAATCAAAATCAGAAAAAAGAAATAACATCCCGTGGATGTGAACATCAGATTATAAAATGTGTGCCCACCAAACATTTTAAATTTTAGTGCGAATACGAATTCCCACGGAGAGAAACACTTCTGTCACGGTCAATAAGTGCTTATCTTTAGTATCATTAATATACTTTTCCACGGTTAGCTTACTTTATGCCCTGTTTGGATGGAGGGTAGAGAGGAGGCGGGGAAGAGAAATGTAGCTTTCACCTTGTTTGGGAGTTTTTTTAAGGAGGGTAGAGAGGAGGAAGGAAGGGAAAGGAAGATAAAATTACTTGGTCCCCCCTTTTCTTTCCCCCCGATTTGGGCGGTAGAGGAGGGTAAAGGAGGGTAAAGGGGTGTAATGACATTCTTACCCCCATCAAAACAAATAAAAGGGCTGATGTGTTATTAGTATAAAGTCATTTATGTAAATTTACATATATTTACTTCCTTTCACCTTCATTCACCTTACTCAACTCCCAAACAACATATTACAATTCTCTTCCCTTCTCTTCCCTTCCCTTTCCGTTATTTACCTTTCCTTACCTTCCTTTAGTAAACTCCCAAACACACCATTAGACACAGAATCACAAGTAGATCATCTCTAAATTAATGAAATGACGCTTACAAAGGTTAAAATGAACCTATATATAATATAGGGTTTTTCTATAGAGTGCCCAAGGACACTCTATAAGAGAGGATAGAGATAGAGAGAGGTGAATATAGTGGGAACAGAAATAAAAGCAAACAGTTGGCCCCTCAAATATTCACCTCTCTATCTCTCTCCTGTTTTATAGAGTGCCCTTGGGCACTCTATAGAAAAACCCTATAATATATACTGTATATTTAAGAAAAGGCATCTTCTAATTTTGTGTGTCAGTCTTTTTCAAAAATATCCTCACATTTCAAAAATTAAAACAAACGCATTCACACATACAAGAGGTAACTAAAGTGTCTAACACTTGAGAATCAACACAAATAATCCCACTCTCACAAAAACCATTTCGAAATGCCCTCACATTTTTTTATTATGCAGGCGAGTACTAGTATTTTCCTTATGAAAAGTGTCTGTCTTTGAGTCTTCCCCACGCTTTTCATGGCGTGATTAAATTTATTTTAATGTTTAAACTTTTAAATTCCCTTTTCATAGACAGTGTGGAGTTTTAAGGATATTGAAATAACAAACTTAAAACTCTGTATTTATTTCCTATAAATAAAACCGAACAAAAACTTTATTTATACCACAAATATAAAAGTAAGATTTATTATTGTTTAATATGTTAAATAAGATGCACCTTATTATTTCCCACCACTATTCATTGGAAAAAAGTTCTACAAAAGACAGGATTTACCTTATAAGCAGCCAACTATATCTCTAAAAGAGGCTAAATATATGCTGAAATTGAAAAATGGTCCCTTAAATTCAATCAAAGACCAAAAAAGAAAATATTGTAGAGGCTCAAAGAATGTAAACTACTAAGTTTCGTTTTTGTTAGGTTTTAAGGGACTTGGACATTAGAATAAAATTCAGAAAATAAGTCCCATAAGTAAAACCTAACAAAAAATAATACCACCAAATATAAAATGAAGATCTGCGGATGAGTCGATGTAATTGTTAGGCAAAAACAAACCCGTGTCGAGGAACCCAACCAAACGCCGATCAAAGAGGGCTAAAAACAACCAAAAATCAATGCACAAACAAAACACCAATTTTAACGTGATTCGGCAATTGCCTACGTCCACGGGGGCAAGAAGAGGATGAGCTTTTCACTAAGGGGGGTTAGTCACCTAGAACTTAAAATTAGAACTGGGATAATATGTGGGATAAATTTTTAAGGTGTTAGTCACATAGAACTAAAACTAGAACAAAATTTTACAGTGTTAGTCAAGTAGAACTCTAATAAAACTAGAATTTGGATAATGGTACAAAATTATCCCACTTTTTTCATTTTTCTATATAAAAATGAGAGTTCTAGTCTCTCAAATTATTCCAAGTTTTAGCTTGGAACTAGGTGGTAAAAAACTAGAACTCATATTTATTTTGTTATTTTTTATTTTTTATATTTTTTTTATCTTTACTTCTTTCCTATTATGGTTATCACCATTAGACCATCATAATAATAATAATTGTCAATATCTTATAGTCTAACGAAAAGTTATTTAATAGTAAAGAATATTCTTGTAAGCAATTATAAATCAATAATAGTAAGTTTAAAATACATAAATAATATTTATATCTTCAAAATGTATAAATATATATTTCATGATTATAAAAATTTATCCCACGTTATTTTATCAAAATATCCCACTTCATAAAATTATTCCTATTTATCCCGCTAAAATATCCCACTAGCAAAAAATTATTCCGCTTTAACAATTATCCCAATTTGCATCAAAATATCCCAATTGACTAACACCCCCTAATAGAGAAGAAGAGTACAACTTGAGATTACAAATCATATGAATGAACAAACTATTCTCACCAACAAAGCTCTTAATCTCTCCAAATAAACCTAATCAAATGGCTCAGAAAATACCTCTTTTCTGTACTCCAAATATCTCAAACTCTTGCCTTAAGAAACCCTAGAACGTGTATTGGTATTTATACAAACACCAAAAATCAAATAAGAACAAGAAACAGATTTTGGGCCTGACCCGCTACGCGGTCGACGGCCACGGTCGACCGCGACCAACGACAGAGCCTAAAATCACTTACAGGGTCTCGCGGTCGACCGTGACGGTCGACCGCGCCAAGTCCAGGCACAAATCTTGGATCCGTGCATGATCGCGGTCGACCGGCCTTGCGCCGCGGTCGACCGCGCAGCTTCCAAAGTGACACCTGCATCCCAAAAGCTTGTTCTTCATCAAAACTTCTCGCGGTTTCTTCAATTCTCCACCTCAGTGAAGTTTCTACAAAAACTGAGCCGACACCAACCAAGCCAAATGCATCACTTGCTGCTTCTCAATCCTTAACAATTCGAGACCCAAACGGGAGTGCGAACACTCACCTAAACGTCGGTATCTACTCACCAAATCGGTTGTATCATAAAGACTACCTATGTATCCTCTTGCCCAAGGAATCAAGCCTTCACGTAGTTCACCCAAACGGCCTCCAAAGGCCATCAATCAAATAGAAAAGTCTGCAACTCTTCATCAATATCGCCAACAGATCTGCAACTAGTAGCGGCCCCAAACTGATACAAATCAAACACCTCCATCTGAGGTGAACCAATGGCCGTATTCAAATCATGTCCATCAACTGCAACCGAATCCAAAAACAAACCATCATCTGCATCCGAAATCAAATGATCTCTAACCTGTGCCACCTTAGCTGGAATCCCAAATGACGTAGTATGATCTAGAGTATATGGAATAAGTTCCACCCAATGTAAAGTAGCATCATCCTCCACCTGCTGCGATATCCAAATGACCTGATCAACACTCTCCACCTGCTGGGAGTCAAAAATGACATTCTTGCTCAGAACAAAATCAGAAGATCCCAAACGATAATCAAATGAGCCTCCGAAATCCAAACATGCAATCGGATCAAATCTCACATCCTCAATGTGACCAAATGTTGGGTAACCAAATATCCGACGCCAACCAAAATCTGAAGCAGCTCCACCAGATCTAATAACTGCTAATACAGTAGTCTGCGACCTATGACTAAGATGACCCAAATATGTCAAAACTTTAGAACCAGAACCAATGCTCGACAAGCAATGCCGATCCTCCTCCAGAAAGGAACAGCCCATCGAAACTGTCACCTCATCTCGTCGCCCCAAAGTTTTCACACCAATGAAGTGTCTCCTATTGTCGTGAGCTCGGCACAAACGTAAGAAAGAATCCCTACCAAAGCTAGAACAATGAGTTACCTTTCTGCCAATACACTTCTTACAATTGTTGTTGACTTCTAGGACTTTACACCAACGAGAACTGGTCGCGACCCAATATTGCCTAGAACAATCACCAACTGTGATAACTACAAAACGATTATCTCCTAATGATGCCTCCTTGGAAGGGCCCCAAATGCCTGACTGAACACCTCCTAAAAGAACCCTTGCTCGATGGATAGAAGTGCCTAACTCCACCACGGTCTTACTCATCCCAATGCGCTCAAAGGACTTCTATCTGCAGGTCAAAGCACTCCTCAACAACCTATACACGGCATCACCAATCATATATCCCAATACCAAACAATGCCACAGTCTAGCCAAAGAAGTCATCAGCGTTTTATCAATCACCGTGCTCCTAAGCAAATAGTATAAGTTACTCCTTCTGACGTCTTTCATCACAATCATGGACCCAAATGTAACCTTC